CGCGGTCGCCGAGTTTCGCTCGCCACGAGATCGGCCGACCGACTGCGCCGCCCCCCTCAACAGTTCTCGACAATAAACCTGCTGCCGCCGTTCCATAGGCTTTAGCTAGGCTTTTCGATATTCTCGGTTATCTTTCGCGTGTGAGCCTTCTGCTCGCCAGCTGCTCGAACGGCTGTTTCTTATCTCCGTTATAAAAAGTGGTCGGAAACTCGCACATCGCGTCAGTTCCTCCTCGTCATTTGAACCGAACCGAACATTCGCAAGAATACTTCATGAAACCAATCGCACGCTATTTCTGCCGTTAAACGCTTAAAAGAATCGAACAAGCATTTTTTGGTGCACTATTAGAACGTTCCAATGGCGCGTTTAGAGTTTAGATGAAACGAGCGAGCGCTCCGCCTTAGTGAAATTTAGAAATGCAAGGGTGGACGAACGATTCGTTCGTCATTTGGCGATCCCTCGCATAGCCGGAAATTGATTGCTTCTATCGACGACGAGCACGATCGAACGTTCGTAAACATGGATCCTCTTGAAGCATCGAACAAGTATTTTCGCAGCGTTCTGAAGGAATTGCAACTCCTGTCATGCCAAATCAGAAACATTTTGCTGCGATATCTGCGACGAGGCGATGTCCTTTTTATTAATACACATATAGAAGATCCTGCATTTTCGTCGCTCTATGTGTATTTCACTGTATTATCGAATAGCGGATTAGGATCCATAATCTTTTTTACATCGGTGGCTTACAGAGATAGCAATAGAATTCATTGATTCGCGATTTCTTTAATCCTCGTCCAGCGGAAGTTCATTTTTTTCATATTCGTCACGAGTATTTATATATATCTTTTTATTTGTTGTGTATGTTTGTTTTATAACGATTATATTATCATAGAAACAAAATGAGAAGTCAAATTCATTTGGACTTAGGTTTTCCCCCTTTTTTCCTGTTTTTTTCTTTTTTCTGAGAAAAGTAACTTTTGGATAGGAATGTCGAGTGTAAGCGATGTCGATATACCTCGCCTTCCGTACATCAACCTTCAAACAGTGACGTCATTCGCAGTTGCCTTTCATTCATCTAGGCATGTATGTACTCGCAGATGTTTCTTTGTATCCTACGTCTCGTACAAAGAGCATTCACTCACCCTTGTTCTTCCATGAAACACCTATCCTACTTACAACCCCCATTAACTCCCACGAACTTCCTTCTTCATTCCTATTTCGAAACAAATAGGTACATGAACTACTTCAAGCAACTACTTGAACTACTTGAAGCAAAATTAATCTACTCTATTTAATAAATAATTAATTAATGTCGACCATTTTCTGTCATGAAATAAGTCGAATAGCTGAAGTAGCAGTTCCGATTCTATTATACCACGAGAATGAAAGATTAAACGAGGAAGATTCCAAGAATGACGTCGATTATAGTAGATACCGAATGGAAGCTCGAGTCTCTTCGAATTTCAAATCTTACTTACGTAAGAAACAAATATACTTAGTTGGAAAATGATCTGGCTGAATGATAATTTCCGATTATTAATTGGTTCATTAATCTCATTTGATATACGTTCAAGCAAAGAAATCATTAGCTCTTCGTTCTTGTCTTATACATATTTTATGTAAATTGCAATCACCTTGTTTAACTCGTTTCCGTCTATTTCATATTTGCAATAATCTACGAACGATACTTTATTTGCAAGGACGAAAACGAGGAATCTTAATCGAAAGCTGAAAGTTTATAGATATATTATCAGCACTATTATCCTATTAATTAATAGATTAATTTTGCAACAAAGTTATAGTTTGTGTGATGTAGTTTAATAATATTTTTCGACTTTCGTCGTTCACTCTAAAGCCAATTAGGACATAAATCCGGGTTACCACGATAATTATAATTTAATCAAATATTTAATCAAATCAATAGCTGGAGCTGTGAGATACCTTCGATCTCGTAAAAAAAACCGAGAATCGTTGGCTCGCACTGTCCCTACATAGCTTCGCAAGCTTCTTCGTTCATTTGTTTTATTTTATAAGTTTGAAAAGAGGTGCTTGTTTCTTTCGAGTTGTGGCGAAGTTAAACATTATCGTTAATTAACCGTATAGATAGCGCAGAAATTTAGTTATAGTGTGTTTACGTTTCACGTGTGTGTATAGTGTGTTTTAGTTTTAGTATAGTGCATCGGACACGGCAATTGAGATAAACTAATCTACCCGATTAAAGTCTGGAAAAGTTGCATGAGACTCACAGATAAATATCCACTTGAAGTTCAATGTTTACTTATGCCAACTTTCCTTTTTCAATCTGTCTTACATATCGTATAAAATTCTGCTAAATTTTTCTATTAAATATAATTGTTACTTCCTTGGTCAGTTCTTTAAACAGCAACGAAACTCTTTTTTTATCAGAAAAGGACTAAAAATAAGGACTGAAATGCTATAAGTATACGAGCTTAAAATATGTACATGACCATCGACTCTCAAAATAAAAGCAAGGTTTCTCTTTTGCTAGAAAATTATTAAAGGAGGCGACTTAAAATATTTAAGAAATATTTGAAATTATACATCTGCATTATGAAATAATCTTTTACAAGGACATTGTAGCTACTGAATTTTTCATGAATAAGTCTGTACTACCAGTGAAGAATTTATTTTTTTCCACCACAGCGAATATGTTTTCAACACATTCGCAGCAGTTGACGCAAAGTTACATCATTTTCCATATTTTATGTAGTAGATTTCAAAAATCTACATTTCGTGGATTTTGCATCTCATGTAAGAGATTTTAGAAATCTAGATATCATAGATTTCATATTTCGTGTCGACAGATTTGAGAAATCGAAATTCTAAGCGACGCGTTCGCCTATTATATTGATTCCGCTTGAAAAAGTCGAACGAAAGGAGGGATAGAAATGGCAGAAAACCTGTCCAATGCCGGTTTACGCGCGACGAAAAAAAAAGCAGAACATATAACGGAGCGCATATAATTAGACTGTGGGCTAAATCCTTGTGTTTTATGGCACCAGGAAATTCCATCTTGAGACACTCGATCGATTACTATCTTCTGCTCGTTTTTACATATGTATCTTTTTTATTATTATTATTATTATTTCCGTGTTAAGCTTTCGCTCATTACATGCTTAGGAAATAAGCTGGCTGCAAATACTGGTTACTGTTAGTTACATATGATTCTTTATATAAGAATATAGAATAATATTTTTTCATTTTTGACTTAGTTCCTGTGAAAAAGAAATTGGAAAATTTATCATGCGCATGTACTAGGCCGATTTTTAATTAAACATGTTCTGACTCTATCTTCTTGAAAATGAATTCTTAAACGAAAAAATAATATTCCACGTTTTCTGTATAGTTTCACACATAGAACGACATCCTGTCCCGATTATCTAGTTCTGTCCAGTCCGCAATTAGCCATATTCAAGTATACTTTATCAATTTTCAAACTCGATTTTCTTAAAAACTAAACCGAATATGAGAAAATTTTATTCCACATCATTTGCTTATTTTTACACAAGGAATCGCGTCATTCCGTCATGAATAAATATAACTAAATATACGTATATAAGTAACAATCCTTCTTTGACGTAGCGTTGATCTGTACGATGTCTTTGAGTTTTATTCCTTTCCTTATTATTAGTAATTCGTATCACTATCTTAATACTCTAGACGAACTGCTGAAATTCTCATCGCACTCCGTATGAGGTAGAGTAGAGTCTTCGTTTTTGCATATCGTAGCTTTGAGAGAAAAACGACACAGTTAAAAAAATGCAACTTTTGAGTTATAAGTATGAAAATATTACAGAGACACTTCTCGACCAATTGCGAAACTTTTATTCGTTTATCTTTGTAATTTGGCCGATACAAAGCAGTTATGTCGCTCTTCCTGATTTATACGACACTGTGCTGTATCCTACAAATGCGTCTTGTCGTTAATAATTGTGTCCTGACTAGAAAGATGATTTCCTACGGTTTAGAGCTAAATATGAAAAAAGAAAAAGAACATTTAAACCTATTTTATAAGCATTACTCATCTTGTTCATAAATTTGATTTAATTACATTTGGAAGTAGTTTTTCGTTCGTTTCTTCCGCAAGAAAACATACTTTAAGAAAAAGACGTACTGTAAGAAAGCGATATATATTTTTCAGTGGTGATTCTAGATTATAATTTATAGTTATACGTTGTAATCCATTTAAATTCAAACAGGCATTATACGCATAGCTCTATTTCGTTTGTTACATACTATATGTGTAAAAATGACGAAGATCTTTGTATCGAAAACACGAAGAAGAAAATCTTCCAGGTCATCTTTTTAGCGTGAAGAGTGAATCACATTCTCAGTCATTGGCGAAAGAAGAGAAGAAACGAGATACAAGGATTCCTGTTTACGATCTAATAACAAACGATAAATCTAGCTGTTGAGAGTCTTGTTCAGATGATTTAGACACCTCGCAATCGTTTGATAAATATAAATCACACTAATTAAGGGAAGCCCGTTTCAGGTTTGCAACTACAGCCTTATCGATCCTGATAAAGGCAATTAAACTGATAAACGCAGACATACATAC